ATTCTGACAAAGATTGATACTTGCAATTGGAAGGAGTTAATGAAACAATAAAAATGGCTATTTAAATATAATATTTTTGTGCATCATAAGAGATACAAAATGTTTGATTGCCTTATAATTTGCAGAGAATTACAGTCAACCTGTCTGTTTACACTGTCCATTATTAGCAGTGGAATGACAGTTCAGTTCTACCCCCTCCCTCCTTGGAGGACACAGTGTGGCAAAGATCTGCAAACATCAGCCACACATGCCACCTTGCATTTAAACATTTGCACAAGCTTGTCTTCGTGGTGAATGGCCCTTTGCTTTTATTGAACATGAGGTTGTGTGCAGGCTGCTACTGGGATCTGTGTTAATAAATGGCAGGCCGACCACTCATTACTCTTACACCGTGAGAGCTGATTCTGTCTTTTTTCCCAATGTTTGACTAGTCCCCTCTCAGTCCTCTAGATGTGAGTTCAGACAGCACTTTATATTTCTACCCTTGTTTTTCCAAACAGCACAGCTCTATCATGTCATTCTATTCCAAAGCCTTCACACTCTGTACTATTTTGTTCACTCTTTCCCTTGTGGCCATTTCACCCATAAGCCAAGTCAAGGCTGGTGGAAGGCAATTCCACTTCTGATAACCCTCGTTGGCTTATTCACACACACAATCAATCCCATTTATAACTGGAGGGAGCACAGAAGGAGGTCGTTCCGTCCATTGAGTCCATGCTGGCTATCTGTAGAACAATCCAGTCCATCCTAATGCCCCATTCTATCCCCAGAGCTTTGCAAATCCCCATCCAATTTCCTTTTGAAATGTTTCATAATCCCTGATTCCAATGCCTTTATAGGTCATTGCCACTCAGATAAATATTCTCCTTCACAACCCCTCTGCATCTCTTGCTCAAAGCCTTAAATCTGTGTCCATTAGTCCTTGCACCATCAGACAAGGAACACCTTAGTTAAACATCCCATAATCATGTACACATCAGTCAAATCTCCTCTCAACCTGCTTTGATCCAAGGAAAGTAACCCCAGTTTCTCCAAACGAACCTTGCAGTGAAAATCCCTGATCTCTGCACTGTCTTAAGGGCCACCCCAACATTCCTAAAATGTGGTGACCAGAACTATACATGAAACTCTCTTTCTGGCTTAACCAAAGCTTTATTAAGGTTCAGCATAACTTCCCTGCTTTTGTACTCCACTGAGGAAACTATTTCCTTCGCTCACAACTCAATACAATGTGCCATTTACCTGTTTGATTCCACCATATTTTGAGGAAGAGAGTTCCAAAGATACATGGTCCTTAGAGCAAAAATACTTTCTCCTCATCTATGTCTGAAATGGGTAAGCGCTTAATTTTAAATAGTGACCCTGAGTTCTAGATTCTACCACAAGAAAACACAAAACCATCAGAAATAGAAACAGGAGAAGGCCATTCAGCCCCTTGAGTTTGCTCTACCATTCAATCAGATCATGACTGATCTGATATTCCTCATGTCCACTTTCCAGTGTTTTCCTCACAACTTTTGATTCCCCAAACGATCACAAACTTACAAGAAAAATCCTCCCCACATTCGCTTAGTCAAGACCCCTCAGGATCTCGTAACTTCGATCAAATCGCCTTTGACTCTTCTAAACTCCAGTGGATACAAGGCCAGCCTGTCCAAACATTCCTGATTACACAACTTCCCCATTCCAGGCGTTAGGCTGGGAAACGTTCTCTGAACTGTTTCTAACATATTTGCATCCATCCTTAAAGAAAGAGACCAATACATTTTTTATTCATTCACAGGATGAGGGCATCACTGGCCAGGCAGCATTTATTGCCCATCCCGAATTGCCCAGAGGACAGTTAAGAGTCAACTATATTGCTGTAGGTCTGGAGTCACATGTAGGCCAGAGCAGGTAAGGATGGTAGTTTCCGTCCCTAAAGGACATTAGTGAACCAATTGATTCTTTTCTGACAATCAGCAATGAAATCCTGGTCATCATTTGACTCTTAATGCCAGGTTTTTATTGAATTCAAATTCCATCATCTGCAGTTTGAATCCAGAACATTACCTAGGTTTCTGGATTAACAGTCTAGTGATTGTACCACTAGGCTGTTGCCTCCCCTACTGTACACAGTGCTTCAGATATGGTCTCAGCATTGCCTTGTGTAACTGAAACACAACTTCCTTACTTTTGTATTTAATTCTCCTTGCAATAACACTCCATTGGCTGTACCTACATACCAAATGTTTGTGATTAATGCACTTGGATGCCCAGATCCTTCTGCAACCTCTCACTGTTTCATTGATGTGTTTATTTTTATTCATCTGCCAAAATGGACAATCTTAATTTTCCGTCATTATATTCTAATTGCCAGGTCTTTGCTCACTCACTGAAACCATTTGGATCCCTTCGCAGCCTCCTGATGTACTCTTCAAACTTACTTTCCTATCTGACTCGGTATCATCAGCAAATTTAGCAACCATCCCTTCAGTCTGCATTCCCCTGTTTTTATTTCCTGCTCTGGGGACCTCTGAGGTCCATAGACAGCAGTGACTTCCACAACTGGATGTCAATTTGTTCCTACACTAATTGACGTGTGAGCAGCGTGCATGGGACCTCTGAGAAGCCACATTGCCGCAATACTCAGTCCTTTCATTAAAGTCATTTCTATAATTTTTTAAAAATTAATGCCCCAGCATTGATCCCTGTGGCTCCTTTGAAGTGGCTTTAGGAAGTTTTACTCCTTCAAAGACACTGTATCAATGCAAGTTATTGACGTGGTGGATTGATCGGTGATTAAGTGGTGTCTTGTTCAAACTGAACTAGTTATAAGTGCAGAAGGCTGTTTAGAACTGAAGAACAGTCCAGCGGACTGGAGAATTGAAAACCTTATGCCCTTGTTCAAAAAAAGTTTGTAAAGGTCAGCCCAAAAATTATAGAACTGTCAGTTTAACTTTGTCTGTGTCTAGAAACAATTATTCAGATTAAAATCAATAGTCACATGGAAAATCGTGGGTTGATTCGGAAGAGGAAATGTCTTGTCTAAATAACTCGCTGAAGTTTTCTGAAGAGCAACAGCAAGGCTCAAGGTGGGTAAAAATGTCGGTGTGATATACCTGGACTTCCAGGTGTTTGAATGAAAGCCATATAACAGACTTATGGAAAAGTCACAGGTCATGGTATCAGTGGGATAGTAGCAACATGGATACAACATTGGCCAAGGGATCAGAAACCGAGAGGACTGGTCAATGGATATTTTTGAGGCTGGAGGAAGGATTGTACTGGAGTTCCCCAGGGGTCAGTATTGGGACCTTTGCTTTCCCTGATACATATTAATGATCTGGATCTTGGTGGGAACAATTTCAAAGTTTGCAAATTATACAAAACTTAGAAAAATTATAAACTGTGAGGAAGATAAAGTTTTTGAGAAGATTTGTAGCTCGGGTTGTGGATGAGGTTGTAGACTGTGAGGAGGATAGTGTGGAACCCCAAAGGGCATTAGAGTGAGCTGATGGGTGCAGAAGTACTTTAACGCAGAGAAGTACAAAGAACATAGAGAAACATCATAAACTAAAGAGTACTATTCTATTTTGGATTTGAAGGAGCATAAAGACCTAGGTGTATAAGTGCATTACGCCATTAAAGGTGATAGGACAGAGACAGGTCGACAGAGCAGTTAACAACATACAGTATTCTAGGCTTTATACATAAGTGTATAGAGCAGAACAGCAGGGAGGTAATGCTGAACTTATATAGTACATTGACTAGTCCTTATCCAGAGCATTGTGTAAAGGCACCATACTCTAGGAAGGATGGGAATGCATTAGAGAGATGTGGAAGAGGTTTTAGAAGAATGGTTCCAAGAATGAGAAACTTCAGATATGAGGAATGATTGAAGAAGTTGGGACTGTTTCCTTGGAGAGGAGAAGGCTGAGAGCAGATTTGATAAATGTTTTCAAGATGTCTGGAGAAAGTGGATGGGTAGACATTATTCCTGCTCATAAAAGGATCGAGAACCCAGGGGGCATTGTTTTACAGAGCTTTACAAAATGAGCAAATGTGAAGTGAGAAAAAAAGTCTTTTTCACACAGCAAGTGGCTAGGGTCTAGAATGCACTGCTGGAAGTGTGACGGGAACAGGTTCAACCAAGGTATTCCAGATGGCATTGGGCAATTACTTAAATAGAAACAATGTTGTCAGATAAAGGCAGGAGATTGGCACCAAGTTTAAATAGAGCCGGTACTGGCATAATTTTCTACACCACAACAATCCTGAGATTCTTTGAATTTATGGAATAGGAGCTGGAGTCAACTTTGTAAAGCCTTTTCCCCCAATACATCAAGGTCACAGCTGACCTTTTACCCTAATTCCTGCTTCCCACACCCCCATATTCCTTAATCCCATTATTACCCAAAAGTCTACCAATCACAAGCCTGAGTATACTCAACAAACTGGGGCCCACAGGCCTTTGGGTAGAGAATCCCAAAGATTCACAACCCTCTCAGTGAAGCAACACCTCCTCGTCTCAATCTTTAATGGCCGCCCTCTTATCCTCAGACAGTACTTCCATATTCCAGACTCCTCAGTCAAGGGTAAACTCCATCCACCATCTACCCTGTCCAATCCCTTATGAATTTTAGGTAGTAAATCAAACATAGTCGTTCCACAACAAGTGGAGACTCCTCGGGCCACCGTTTGTGAGTCAATGCCATCTGACAACTTTAGGGCCTGTTGGTGACTTAATTAAACTAGCACTTTACAACTGCCAACCCGCTGATACAGTGCGGCTAAGCAATCTCATTCGGTGTCCAATAAATCAAACCACTGTAACTCAAAAAACTGATTAGATCATCTCTACTGGGTCAATCACAACTGTATGCAAAGCTACTATTGGTTTTTATCTACAGATTAACCAATGAACACTTATAATCCCCAGAAACCACCAAATGAAGGATTGATAACCACATAATTCTGAAATTGACAAGAGGAAAGTAACTGGGAGCCCAGAAACTTACCGATCCAGTCAATTCGGTGCATCACTTAGCAACAGCTGCTTCTCTCAAGCTCTTCCCTCCTGTCAAAGCAATGGTGGAAGGTCAATTGTTGCAAAGAAAGTTCATTTTTAGTGAATAAATGTTCATCTTTCCAACAGCCGATGAGCCTCTCTCAAGAACCACTGGTTGTTTTTACGTTGTTGTCCTTGCAAACCCCAACACCATCCCCTGATTCCTACCAAAGCCCACCCTCACCAACACCACACCACTCCTCCAACCAGCACCTCCCCCTCCACTTCAACCATGTCACCCCCACCAACCATGCAGTGGGCCTGGTAACCACAGAAAGTCACCGACAACATATGCTCAACTACCTAACTGCACTGGTAATGGGAATTCTCAGGAGGAGAATGGTTAGAGAGAGAGAGAAAGGCAGAGAGAGAGAGAGAATGAGACAGAGAGAGAGAGCTGATTTAATGTCGTTTTTGGAAGCCAGCTCACAAACTAATGGACTGAGGCCAAACAAAAGTTACCAACTGTTGCAGAAAAGTGCAGTGATCTTCCTGTAGGAGACTGTAACAGAACTGTACGCACAGAAATGGCACATACATACACACACTAACACACGCTCACACACATACATACAAATACGGCACACTTTCACATATGTACATGTATATACACTTCCATACATGCTCGCTCGCACACATTTGAACACAAACACACCTTACGGAAAAAGTGTGAAAAATATATCAAATGTTTTTTTTCAGGAATTTCTGCCTCTGTGACAACAGATTGAAGCCCCATGTGGGAAAAGCTGCTCAGATTCACCCCACGGAACTTATATTTTCCAAGCTCAATGATTCCCCTTCCTTCCCAAAAAAAGCAGAATGAGCTCAATTCAGTTGCTATTTTATCAGCAGGTTTAAACTGTAAGGAAGGTTGGTAAATGCCTCACCCTTCAAATCAAACAGTGATATTTCTGATCGAGCTATTACATTCCTTTATCAGAAATAGCATTTCACTTTTATTTTCCACTTGTGACAGAAGTGGGGAGAAAAACAATTGCGTCATTAACTATTTTTCAGAAAAATCCCTCTGCACTTGCTCAGTATTAAAATCACAATTGCTGAAAGGAGTTAAGGGTGTTCTATAGCCTCGCAGTCACATAAGCTTGTCAATAAATTTCTTGTTCCCTTCTTTCTGGTACAAATTCATTACCTAATATGGGTCTGCCTGCTTTCTAAGTTATTTCTAGTGTGTGTGATAATACTCTCTGGGATGCCTAGACTAGCTGTAGTTCAGATTCTGCAAATTCTATTTTCACAGGGCAGTTACCAGTGAAATGGTGTCAAAAAAAAAAGTTTGAAAAGTGCAGTGGATTGGCAACAGATTGTATAAACAAATCCCGACATCATTCTTTTTTCTTACCCCCTTGTCTCTTGCATTTTGCTGAGGATGGCAATTCTTAAAAAAAATCACTGTGGTTAGCATTAGCAATAAGCAGAGAAGTGACTCGGTTTGTTTCACTGTGAGAGAGAGGATAAATTTCACTCATTGAACCCATAAGTGTCTCTGACGGTTGTACCATATTCTGCCTCAGTGCTCCAGTAGGTGAAAGAATCTGGGATCTGCTGGAATCCTACTCTATACTTGGTACAGCAGATGAGACAAGACAAGAGGGCACACGTTTAAGGCAAACAGTAAGCAGATCAGGGGGGATCTGAGGAAACTTTTTTTTACCTAGAGGGTGGTACACATATGGAAATCACTGCCTGAGAGGGTGGGGAGGCAAGGACTCTTGCAACATTTAAGAAGCATCTCAAAGAACACTTAAAATGTCAGGGTAGAGATGGCTACAGACCAAGTGCAGGTTAATTGGGTTAGTTCTGAGGAAGGCTCACTCGACCTGAAACGTTAACTCTGATTTCTCTCTACAAATGCTGCCAGACCTGCTGAGCTTTTTCACCAATTTCTGTTTCTGTGGTTAATGGGATTAGTGTACTTTGGTGTTTATTGGTTGGCATAGACATGATGGGCTGAAGGGTCTGTTTCTGTGCTGTGTGACTCTATGATTCCATAATTGTTTAGGATAATGATCTCTTTCAGGAAACTTGTGACTCTGTGTGTGTGACAAGGCATAAGAAACACAGCATGCAGGCCATTGGTATTCAATAGGATCATAGCCAATCTTGGGATTGAACTCCATTTTCCTTCCAGCTCTCCATATCCCTTGAATCCTTCAACGACCACTCGAATCTGTCCTTGGACGTGTCTAATAAATAACTATTTATCAGGCGGTGAATGTACAGGAGGAGTACTGTCCTATCGCCTGACCAGGAACCCATATTCAGAAACCTTCCGTAGCTCAGAATTCCCTCTTTCACAGCTTCAGAAACACACAGACTAGTTTCTTGGGAAATCATTTGAACAGAAGTAGGCCATTCAGCCCCTCGAGCCTGTTTCATCTTTCAATGAGATCATGGCTGATCTGTGGCCTAACTCCATAATCCTGCCTTCAGCCCATGTCCCTTAGTAACTTACTTAACAAAACATCATCTCTCTCAGATTTAAAATTAACAACTGATCCAGCATCCACTGCTGTTTGTGAAAGAGAGTTCCAAACATCTCCTACCCTTTGCATGTAGAAATGCTTCCTAACATCTCTCCTGAACGGTCTGGCCCTAATTCTCAGAAGATGTCCATAGTTCTAGAATCCCCAACTGGAAATAGTTTATCCTTACCTACCCTGTCCTTTCCTGTTAATATCTTGAAGACTTCAATCAGGTCACCCCCGAAGCTTGGCAGTTTAACCAGCTGGGCATGTTAATTGGTTGGGTGACTGTAAGTGTAAAATAACAAAATCTGAATTTGTTCAGCGTTTCATTCATTGAATGCACTGCTGCTTAAAATTGCAATGAAATGCAAGCCATGAAAGGTAGATGCTGTATGGTGTCAAAAGTTTAAGACTGATCTCCTAGGCCCCATATAATCACCAAGAGAAATGTCTCAGATCTTGTTAAATGAAACTGGCCTGGCTTTTTATCCAGGTTTCTGTCTCTCCCTCAAGATTATGTGTTTATTACTCAAGGGGCTATGGTGCTGCCAGTATTGCCCATCGCTAGTAGCCCTTGAGAAGGTGGTAGTGAACTGCCCTCTTGAACTGCTGCAGTCCATGTCCACAATGCCATTTGGAAAGGATTTCCGGGGTGCTGACGCAGTGATAATGAAGGAACGACGAGATATGTCCAAGTCAAGGTGGTGAGTGGCTTAGAGGGGAATTTGCAGGGGGTGGGCCATTTCTGAAAGCATCAACCATATTGCTGCGGATCTGGAGTCACATGTAGGCCAGACTGGGTAAGGGTGGCAGATCTTCTTCCCTAAAGGACAATAGTGACCCAGATGGGTTTCTCAATGATAATTTCATATCATCATTAGCTACCTTTGAACTGGCTTTTAATTCAACAGCTGTTGAGCATAAGAATGCAAATGACAAGGAGCAGGAGGAGGCCATTCAGCCCTTCGAGCCTGCTCCACCATTTAATACAATCATGGCTGATCTCATCTCAGCCTCAACTCCACTTTCCTGCTCCCTCTCCATAACCCTTCAGCCCATTACTAATTAAAAATCTACCTATCTCCTCCTTACGTTTATTTAGCATCTCAGCACACAGCACACCCTGGGATGCTGAATTCCACAGATTCACAACCCTTTGAGAGAAGAATCCCTCTTTTAGATGGGATTCAGACTCATATTCCCAGTATATTAGCCTTGGCCTCCAGACTATCAGTGCAGTGACATTTTCACTAAGCTGCTATGGCAGTGCGGAGGGTATAAAATGTGACACATGAAGCAATGCAACTGAATGAGACAGGCCAACTGGAGCAGAGGGTTTTCACTTGGCAACTATTGTTGGATTCATAACATCACATTGTTTCTCAACAATTTGGGACAAGCTTTTTCTGATACTATTGCACTATTGTATAACTTTTTAATGTACCACACACGTTACAATATTAACCCACTTTCCCACTGCAATTTGCTGTGAATTTTCCCATCCTGTTACATAGTTGAATATCTAATAGAATCACAGGCTAAACTATTTAGAGTTTTGGATGACACAGAGAATGGACAGTTTCTCTTTGTATAAAGTTTGCGATGAAAACTTCCAAATAAATCATGCGAGATAATTTTTATCCAAATTTTAAAAAATGAGTTAGTGATGTCTCCTAAACTCCACATGCTAATGGTAATTAAGCGATCATTTTCAAGCAAGTGTGAGACCTCATTTATTCCAGGTAATCAGGTGATGAATAAAGTGAAAAAAATGTTTACTTGCCTAATTGTTCAATGGGTAATTGCACAACTCAGTGTGTCTGAGTGAAGTAAATAGATTAGGAAAGGTTCCTGGTCTAATCCCTAATCTGTGCTGGGTATAAATCTGAGTTGACGAACCACAAGTTTAAATTTGTGTCTCTCTGCACCTTCATCATATGGTACATGTGCGCGGCATCTGAGTGTGTGCATGTTGCATGAATGTGTGGGCTGCATGTGTGCTGTACGAGTACGCATGTGCGTGCTGTACGAGTATGCGTGTGCATGCTGCATGAGTATGTGAGCTGCATATGTGCTGCACGAGTATGCGTGTGCGTGCTGCACGAGTATGCGTGTGCGTGCTGCACGAGTGTGTGTGCGTGCTGCATGAGTATGCGTGTGCGTGCTGCATGAGTGTGCGTGTGCGTGCTGCACGAGTGTGCGCGTGCGTGCTGCATGAGTGTGTGTGCGTGTGCTGCACGAGTGTGCGTGTGCGTGCTGCACGAGTGTGTGTGCGTGCTGCATGAGTATGCATGTGCGTGCTGCATGTGTGTGTGTGTGCGTGCTGCACAAGTGTGCGTGTGCGTGCTGCACGAGTATGCGTGTGTGTGCTGCACGGGTATGCGTGTGCGTGCTGCACGAGTGTGCGTGCTGCACGAGTGTGCGTGTGCGTGCTGCACGAGTATGCATGTGCGTGCTGCACGAGTGTCCGTGCTGCACGAGTGTGTGTGCGTACTGCACGAGTATGCGTGTGCGTGTTGCACG